TTCAGTGTGTTCAGTTGTGGTGTGTTACAGTTGTGGTTTGGTTACGTGTGTTATCAGTGTGTGTTGTTACGAGTTGTTACCAGGTGTGGTGTAGTCTACAGTGTGCTTACAGTGTGGGTGTGTTACAGTATGTGGTGTGTGAACAGTGTTGTGTGTTACGTCTTTACAGTAAGTGTGTGTGTCTACAGTGTGTGTGTTTGTGTGTTACAGTCCCCCCCCCCCCGTCCCCGCCACTCCCACCCCCCCCCCCCCCCCCCCCCCCCAGCCCCCCCCCCTCTGTGTGTTACAGTGCTGTGTTTACAGTGTGGTGTGTTACAGTGATTGTGTGACAGTGTGTGTTTTACAGTGTGGTTACAGTGTGGGTGTGTGATTACAGTGTGTGTGTTTACAGTGTGTGTGTTAACAGGTGTGTTACAGTGGGTGTGTGTGTTAACAGTGTGTGTGTTACAGTGGTGTACAGTCTGTGGTGTGTTACGTGTGGTGTGTTACAGCTGTGTTACAGGTGGCTGTGTTGTTACAGTGTTGTGTGTACAGTGATGTTACAGCTGTGTGTGTTACCAGTGTGTTACAGTGTGTGTGGTGTGTGTGTGTTACAGTGGTGTACAGTGGTGTGTGTGTGTTCCCTCGGCTTACAGTGGCTGTGTGTTACCGTGTGTTACAGTGTGTGTGTGTAGTGTGTGTTTACAGTGGGTGTGTGCTGTTACAGTGTGTGGTGTGTGGTTACAGTGTGTTACAGGTGTGTATGTGTGTATTACGGTGTGTAGTGTTAGGTGTGTTGTGTTGTACAGTGCTGTGTGTGTTACAGTGTGTGTTTACGTGTGTTAAGTGTACAGTGTGTGTGTTACAGTGGTGGTGTGTGTTACAGTGTTGTGTGTGTTACAGTGTGTTACAGTGTGTTACAGTGTGTGTTGTGTTGTGTGTACAGGTGTGTGTTTACAGTGTGTTACAGTGTGGTGTGGTGTGTGTGATGTGTGTGTGTGTCCAACCCTAGGGGAGGGGACCAGACGGAATAGATCTTCTGACTGACTTCAGGTTCCAGATCCTGGAGGAGGGGTCTGCATCCAGATCCAATCCAGGAAACTGCATCTCTGATCCACGAGGACGGACTTGCGGACAACCGATTCAGTGTTGATTTCATTGTTAATCAATCTGCTGCTATTGATTATAGTGTTTATAATCAGAAAACTGCTAGGCAAAGAATTATTATTGATCGGATGGTTATAGAACAGGAAGCAATATTAATTCTGACTGTTAAATATTGATCAAATACAAACTGATCACAGATCAATTTCACAGACATACACTGTCGTCCGTTATTGATTATGTACTGCTGATTAATAAGATTGAATGATCAGACAGTGAAGTTGCGTCCAATGTGTCACTCACTTATCCGTATAAACAGAACCAGAACCAGAAACCGGGGAGGTCGAGTATCTGTTATTCGATCTTGAACGATATTATCGATCATCTTACAGCGCTTTGTTTTCGTTCTTCTGTTTTTCTCTCTCTGTAGCGCCAACGAGCCGCTGTCGCACACTGCTGACGTCACTGAGCAGGACGTCGGCGCGACCCGAATGACGTCACCCGGCCCCCCCCCAGCTGTTGTATTTTGTTAAATTTAAATTGTAAACTCTAGTCTCATATATCTAAAACAATGACGTGTTGTGTGATCTTCAAGCTGTTGATGATATTTATCGCAACGATAAAAAAGCAACCAAATAAACAAATAAATAAATAAACAAATAAATTCAGTTTATTTTATTTTTTGTCTAAATTATGATTATTATATTTACAATATTTTTCTTAATATTTGTGTATTTCTGTTCTTATGAACTCTCTTGTTTGATTTGTGGCAGATCTCATTTGTAGACATATATTTACATATTTATATCCAGTAAAATGTCTTGAAGATAAGAGAAACATTAATATTATTGTTTTGATCTGGTGCATTATTAATCATTAATGATTCGTCTGAAATATCTCAGGTTGAGATTTATTTGTTGTGACATTTCCATTAATATCTCATGTCAACATGGTTTAAATGAGACAAACAGCGTCATTTTTATTACTAGTTAATAATCGGTTCATCATCTCTGCAGAATATCAGAACAGAAACACAGAAACTGTAAATGTTTAATGAAAGTTTGTACATGAACAAAAATATAAAATATCAAAACAATAAACAACAATAACAACAACATCAGGATAAAAACAGACATATGAACATATGAAAGTTTTAGCTGCATGTAGAGTTCTTAGGAATAAATAATCAGAGGAATAAATACAGAAGAAATATACATTTTATAAATGTCATTATTATTATCAGCTCATTTAAACACAACGAAGTGATGTGATTGGCTGTCAGATTGTTGAGTTATTGGTTCTATGAAATGAATGCGTGACTTTGGGATTATTAAAGTACTTTATTATTAGTTATCTGTCTACCTGTCTGAAACAATGTGCTCTTATTGTGAAAGGATCTGATATACATATAATAACTATGTTATGAAACATTTATTCATCATGTAAATATCACATCTGTATGTATTCATGTGATTATTTATTTCACCATTTCTTATTGATTCATATAAAATATTAAAAACTGTAGTGTTCAGTCTCTGACTGCTGGAATTATGGGTAATGTAGTCCTTGAGGAATAAAACAGTATAAAAGGTATAAAAACAGAAAGCTGATTATGTGATTATTAATGAGAATATAAACATTATATTCACCAAAGAAAAAAAAAACAGGAGGTGTTAAATATTATAATGAACTCGTCATAAGCCCCGCCCCTCCAATCACAGTTGAGCAAGCCTCAGTTAACCTCCTCCTGTCCTGTACTTACATATGCTACGTGCTAAAATAATCTATGCTGACAATCACATTTTGAAGACGGTTAAAAGATAAAAGAGACATTTATATATTTACATCTTAAGATAGCTAATGTTAGCAACATGCTAGCTCACTAGCTAACAAATATACAGTAATCACTGCTAGCTAGTTAGTTAGCTACCATTTTGCTACAAAGAAAAACATTAGCTAGCTAGTTTCTTCTGAAATGACTGATTATTGATTATATTATATTGTAGATTAACTAACATCAGCTATCAGATGCAACTAGCTAGCTAACGATTGATGAACACGAGGCTTGCTCAACTGTGATTGGAGCACAGAGTAAAAGGGGCAGGGCTTAGGAAGAGCCGTCTCATTATTGCCAGATTTTTATTTCAGAATCACATCTTTATCTATGACCTCACTGTGATGTAATGTGCTTCCTGTTGCGTGCTGCCTCTGCTTCCCACAATGCATTCTGAATATTCACAAACACATTTAAAATAGAAATATGCGTCTTTTAATGAATCCTTCTATCCATCTATGTTTCTCTCTATAGCTGTCTACCTGTCTACCTGACTACCTGTCCTTGGCAGAGCGCAGGTCAGTTGTAATTGGGTCGTGTTGGATGGTCTGGTGCAGCATCAGAGCCAATAAACCGGCTCGATTCGTCATCGCCGTCCTCAGATTCCTTTCCTGCTCGAACAGCTCGTCCAGCTTATACCACTGACAGACAGACAGACAGACAGACAGACAGGCAGGCAGGCAGAGGGTTACGCGCTACAGTCCTCAATGGGATGTTAACGGCGTCTGGTGTTAATAAAGTTTGGTTACCACTCGGACTCTCTCCAGGTCGACCTCAGCACGGCGCAGTTTCTCCCAGCAGTAATGTTTGTTACACTTCCTCTTAGAGACACGACAAAACTCTCCTGTCGGCTTAAACACGTCTTTAACCAGAGGACAACCGCACACCTCGTCTGCCGGGACCTGACGGACGGAGGACAGACAGTATTGATAAAGTTCTCAGGTTATGCTAGCATGCTAACAGACGAGCTTCTGCTAACGTTAGCTCATCGGTTTCTCTGATCATTTTGGCCCAACCTTTGGATCTCTGGAGTGTTCAGGACACAGAACCTGCAGTCGCTTGCAGTACGTCTTACTCTGAGGGTTATACACATCACAGAACAACCGGGTCGCCCTGAAACACAGACAGACAGGCACATGAGAAACAGACAGATCTAACTCTGACAGCATACAACTCTTGAAAAGAGAGACAGACCGACAGACAGGTGTTCTTACCCCTCTATACGTGTTGGGTACATGGAACCAAACGATGTCTGACTCTCATACTGTAGAACACAGAGAGACATAATCAGTG